TCACATATTTTTAGGAACTCTTTAGCATTTGTCTGTTTGCATCTCCAGAGCTCAAAATATTGAATCCCACCCACCTTGTAATGTCATTTATTGGTAGTTTTTGAGAATACAAAAATATACATACAATTCCAGGTATATTTGATGAGGAAACGGCAGTATAGCATCAGAAAATAGTGTAATATGGGCCTTTAATGCAACACTATGGAATATTCAGACCATGCAATAACAATACCAAGCAAATACACCTTTATTAACTCAGCCAGTGCATAAAACATGTCTCACACCAATAGAGTGGTGGAGTGAAGCTGATTCAGGTTGCGTAAGTCTTTTTTTTTTTTTTTCCACTTTTTGCCTTCTTCTCATTACAATTTTCAAATGTTCTCCACATCCAAGGGACTTTCACAAACACATCACTTTCTCCTCACAGTGGATGCCTGGTTTAATCCAATGCATTTAATTGCTCTTTTTCGCAAGCCACTTTTCAATTAGCTTTAACAGGTAGCAACGCGTGCTATAAAGTACTGAGAGTGCCTTCTGGAAAAGTTTGTAACGGAAGTGAAAAAGCATTGTGAAAAAGGACATTTGTAGCTGTATTGTGTGTTGTTAAAGGTGCATTGTGTAACTTTTCTGGTGGAGGGTCCGTCATCTGTTTGTTTCTGTGGATATGTCATTGCTCCACAGTGTGACATTAAATGGCTCTACCTTACATTTAGTAAATTACAAGTGGTTTTATAGCTCAACAATACCTACACATTCTACTGTGAGCGGGGTTACCTCTGCACAGATCTGACCTGTACCTCGGCCTGGTTTGGTCTCCATGAAGGTTTAATGCCATACTGTGAAACATTCCAGACAAAGCAATAACATCTCGATGAAGAACAGCGTTTCACGGACTCTCCACCACAAAAGTTACACAATACGCGTTTTAACATGATAGTACATAGATTCCATTTATTTATTGTATTGTTGTGTTTTTTTGTTTTTTTTAACTTGTCTCTTATGCAGTGGAGATGACAGAAAGGGCCTGGGGTGTGTTAAAATGAAATCTGTAATCAAACATTGATTGCACAGTGAGGGGCGGAGAGGGGCTGGCGCACATTGTGAGAAATACCCACTGGATTCAAAGTACTTGTGACAGGTTAGACTTCTCATTAAACTAAAACATAGTTAACAGCCTTATAGTTTGGATTTTTCTGTTCTTTTTAAATCTTTGTGAGAAGATACGATGTACATACAGCTAATTCCGTAACTGTTATCATATGTATTAAAGAAGACCTATTGTTCTTGTGCCTTTACAGCTGTAACTATGGCTACGTTCAGACTGCAGGGCTTAACGCTCAATTCAGATTTTTTTGTGAAATCCGATGTTTTTGCGAGGTCGTTCACATTTCCAATTTAATGTGACTTGTATGTGATCTCCTGTTGTGAACATTAAATGGCCCAAAAGTGTCCCGCATGCGCAATGGAGGACGCAATGACGTCAACCGCAGCGAGCGTGCTCTGTGTTTACAAAAGTTGTCCAAACATGAGCATTGAGCACCTGGCGATTTTAAAGTTCCTCTTGTACCGGATCCAGAACATGTACAACTTACTTGTTTTAAAGAGGAGATTGAGAAGAAGGACGAGGTTTTTGGACATGGCGTTTTGTGGGGCAGCGGCAGCAATGTCTGTTGAAAGGAACGTGTGGATGCAGAGACGTAGTCAAGAGTGGTGCGTGGTGATGTGCTTCGCTTCAGTGACACGGAGTTCATTAACAATTTTCGCCTACTTCAGCGCAGAATAGTGACGTTTGTGGCTTGTTGATAACGTGTAGGTCGGATGAATGTGCTTTGGCCATTCAGACTGAAGTCGCATGTCAAAAGATCAGATATGTATCGGTTTTAGGACCACATATCCAAGTGGCCTGGGTCGCATTTGAAAAAAATCGGATCTGTGTCGTTCAGACTGTCATTAAAAGATCAGATACAGGTCACATAGGGGCCAAAAAATCGGATTTGGGTCACTTCAGGCTGCAGTCTGAACGTAACCTATGACACCCATGAATTATTATGTTATCATTTGGACATTTTAATTTGCAATATTCATCTAAAATGACTTCATCAAAGAAACAAATTGGTTGACTTCCGCGTTAGAAAACTGCAGTGCCCAATGGGAGGAGACATCGCCGTAGATCACGCTAGCAAGCACATTTTTTTTATTTGTACTGAAATGACCTTGCAACACTGCCGAGCCCTATGTGTATCACTAATTAAGAAAATGAAATTGGATATTGTAGTTAGTAGAGAGCAGTGTTTGTGTGCTGGTGGCAATGAAAACGGGCAGTATGGTGTCTTGGAAATACGTAATTAAGAATTGTTCAAACATGCACAAATTCAACTTTGGGTGAGTAAATGGCGAGAGGAAACAACTATAACAGTAAAAAGTTCTAAAAAGTAAATTTTGCATAATAGGTCTATACTTAAACAAGGTCCAAAACCTTCAGTTATTATTAGTAAAATGAAGCTTCCTTTATTTTGTTAAATTAAGATCCAAACCGGCGATTTAAACCAAAATGTCTTTCTTTTGCATAAATTGTCCTGTATTACTGATTACATTTTTTCTTCAATTCTTTCTTTCCACATACTGCCACTTAACTGATGTAAAACTGTGATCAATATTCGCCACAGGTAATATCCCACCAAACCAAGTCATAATTACAGAAACATGAAAATTTATCATATTCACTTTAAATAGGAAAGCATGGCAACATGGGTTTGTTAGTGATATTAGGTACTGATGCGTGTGTTCTTAGTTAACAATTTCATTTCATAATTTCATTCTCAAAAAAGTAGAGGTGATTTGAATGAATAATAAACTGAATAAATACAGCAAGAAACTGCCCCTAAATAAGCTCAGAATAGTTTGAATGACAAGAGCTATCACATTTTGTTTTAATGATCTAGACTGGCCAACATGAAGGACAAGTATTTCAGTCTTTTTGAGCACAGCCTGTTCAAATACTTAGATACAATACAATAAAAAGAGGGTTCAATTCAGTTAATGCATGGTTTTAATAGCTGTGTATTTTCTGTTTAGCTGTCACAGTACACTGCACTTTTGTATCACCACTTTAAACAAGCGGAGATTGCATTCTGTATCACCGTATGGTGGTCTGGTCACCTATATATTTCAATATAGAAAACTATCACCACTGTACAGTCTTGACGTATAGAGCTCAGGGGGCGGGAGAAAGCCAATTACTGTAAATCTGATGTTTTGTGTAAACAGTTACTCTTTAACCCCTTAACACCTGAATTTATATAGATGTATATTTTAAAAAAAAGTTTTGTGTGTGTTTTTTCCTTTAAAGTCGATGGTAAATTAAGTTGAGTTTACTACTAATAAATAGAAACTTGGATATGTCGAAAATTTGCGGCAACTAGAAACAAGTGCTCGCCAAAGGTTTTTAGGAAGGAAAATATCTTGATCGAAATGGTTTGTCATATATTCGTGACACTTGGCGTTAAGGGGTTAAAGGTGCAACATTTTTAGTAGGGGTGTAACTTTATCCATGTCTCACGATACAGTATTGTCAAGGTATGAACCTCAGTACGATATTTATTGCGATATCATGGGAAAGCTCACAATATGGTGGGGAGGCTTACGATTAGAGACGTTACAATATCCAAATCTCTCAGTACATTATTTACACGATACACAGCACGATATTTATTGCGATATTTTGTGGAGGCTAATATGCTTCTTTTTCCTCTTAAAATGCCTTGACAAGACTTAATCCAAAGAACTAAGACTTAAAAGTGCTTAAAACTGTTATTTCTTCATGTAGTCTGCACTGAAATGGAGCAAAGGATCATGGTCTATGTAGTTCCCTCTGTCTTTTTTTGTACCTATTGCTGCACCATAACTCTTAATTTAAACAAAGAGACTTGTAATTCGATATATTGTGATGGTCCACGATATTATTAGTGAGAACTTTGACGATACGATATCAGGATATTTTGTTTAGTCTAATTTTTAGTGGAGGGTCTGCCACCTGTTTGTCTCCATGGAAATTGTATTGCTTTGTCTTGAATGCTCCACAGTTTAGATTAAACCCATCTATCACAGGGATTACAGCACTATGCTACATTACAGTTCAGATCTGTGGAGAGTCGCCCCTATTCACAGATGGAATTGTTGTATTTTTGAGTAACAGAAACACCCATAATGAATAAATGTTAGGTGGATACAGTATGTTTAGTGTATGTTTTAATGTCATACCATGGAGACAAACAGGTAGCGGATCCTGCACCAGAAAGTTTACGCAGTGCATCTTTAAATTACGATTACTTGAGTAGTAGTTTTCCCAATATTTAACACTTTTTTACTTCTACAGTGTTTGGCTTTACTCTAGCACCTCTGACCAAACTACACTTTTAATCCAAAGCAGAAGAAATGCCTTCCTCTTTTTGCATATTTAAGTTTGTCCTGTTATCTCCTCGCTGTCTCTTACAAAAGTCTTAGCCCGCGCGTTACATCACCAGATCCAAACAACAATGTACAGCGCGCATACGTACGCACACACACACTCACACGCGCGCACACACACGAACCCATTGACAGCGATGCAAATGGCACACTTGGCTTGTTGTGCGTCTTGATTCTCTCTCCGCGCGGACCGTGTCACTTCTCCCCCCGCCTCCTCGGGCAGCACCAGTAGACAGCGGGCTACTACCGCACTCAGCTCCTCGCTCTAGTCTCGGCTATCGCTAACAAACTTGGAAGGAATACGAAAGCGGCAGTTTTTAATCCTTGCTCTGTTCTTAAGCGGCGGTAGCAGGCGGCGCGCGTTGGCTACGTCCCCACACCTCACCGCGCGGTTACCTGGACAGCAGATTGGGATTAAGACTAATGTACCGGGGGTGAAATCACTACCACCGGGGGAGCACAGTGACTCGTTGTCGCGGAGTGGGATTGTTTTGTTTTTGTTTTAAGCCGCGCGCGGGCTGTTGGAGACGACGATGTCCGTCAGGGGATACTTGGTCGCGTTTTCCAAATTCTCTTTTCTTCTCTCTCTGAGGATCTTGCTTCTTGTGCCTGCAGGGTCAGTCCGCAGCCAAGGAGATGCACAGTCCGACAACAAAGTCATGGACAACATCACGGTGCGCCAAGGGGAGACCGTCTTTCTCAGGTAAGACGCATTATAATGTATTCTGTTCCCCGCGCTGGATGGCTGCTGCTTTGTTATGGTGACAAACTTGAACGCTACCGGTAATTTCTTTGGATTTGTTGCATAGCATGAATGAAGTTAGTGTTTTGGTATCTCGTACTGTTTGAAAAAAGAGGGGGATTGTATCGGATTAAGTAAGGGGCGCATGCAATTCACGCGGGCAGGACTAATCTTAGAGCAGCTGCTAACCAAAGTCTTAGCGGCTTTTAATTGTTGTGTGACGAGGCAGAACTATCCGCAAAGGGAGCAGACACGTATCTCTGCGCGGAGTTCAAGAGCACAAACTCGTATGAAGTTGCTGTAGGGGCGCGTGGAAGTATGTTGTCAAGTGTAAAAAAAAAAACGTCGTAAAGACCGAGGGCGCGGAGATGGATTGACTTGCAATTCCTCAAGATGGAAGATTGTCTGCGCTGACCTCTCCCCTCCTCCTGCCCCCCTCGCGGGCTTACTGGACATAGAGGGATTTATAATGCCTTCAAGGGTTGTCGGGAAACGTAAACCCAGCAGGCGCAATAACAACTCGGCAGAAGAAATGCGCCTCTTTAGCTTTTAGCGCTGATAAGGTGATACGGGGCAGAGAGGAGAGGAGAGGGGAAGGGCATACAATATGGGGGATAGGACTGTGAGGTGTCTGCTTTAATTTGGTTTGGGTGATGCTACGTTTGTTCCTATTGTTTAAGCTTGCTGGCTGTTTGTTATATCTGTTGTTATTGAAATATATGGTTCTGTAAGTATGAAACATGCTTAATATACTGCAAAATATGAGAATAATGTTTTGACAAAGTATCTTAATATTATAATGAATAATAATATTTTACTTTGGATAGTCCCTTGAGATGCATAATCTTTTTTTTCCAAGGGGGTCCTGAATAATTCTACTACAGTTATAGCTCTGACTCAGGCTTGTAAATGTACTCTATTTCTATGTACATAAATTATATATTTTTATTCTAAAAACAATGATACGACTAGTGAACTGTTATTAAAGGTGCACTGTAACTTTTGTGATGGTGGGTTTGATGATATTTGCCTTGAACGTTCCACATTAAATGACATTAAACTTAAATCTTACATTTAATACACTAACATATATTAAGTGTTTTCATTGCATCATACACTAAGCAGGGTGACATCCCCACAGTTCTGACCTGTAACTTATAGCTTGTTGGCATTACGTGCTTGTTACCATGGAAATAAATACACTTAATGTCGTACTGTGGAACATAGCAGCCAAAGCAATAACATCTCCACCACAAAAGTTAAACAATGCACCTTTAAATCAAACTCTTGCATTTAATATGAAACATGCTTAATATAATGCAACATGTAAGAATAATGTTTTGACACAGTGTCTTAATATTATGATGAATAATAGCCCCTTGAGATAAATCATCTCTTTTCCGAAGGGGTCCTGAATAATTCTACTACAGATATAACTACTATGACTCTGGCTACTATGCTATTACAAATGTAATTTTCTAACTACATAAATTATATGTTTTATTCATTGTTACTATGGAAATAAATGCACTTAATGTCATACTGTGGAACATAGCAGGCAAAGCAATAACATCTCCAGCACAAAAGTTACACAGTGGCACCTTTAAATTCAACTCGCAAAGCTATAATGGTAGGTTTGATTGCTATTGTTACAACTGCTTCTGTAAATATATTTTCTCTTTTCAAATACCATGTAAATACCCATTATATCCGTATCTTGTTTTTTATATATACATCAATACCATACAATACTGTTCACAAAGAATAACTTGTATTTAATTGAGGAACTCATTCAGTCTAAATAACACTATTAGGTTAGTTAATTAAAAGTGCATTGTGTAACTTTTTTGGTGGAGTGTCCATCACCTGCTTGTTTCTATGGATATGTCATTCCTCTGCTTACAATGTTCCACAGTATGACATTAAACATTTTATAGCTTTATAGCTCAAAAATATCTAGAAAAACAGGCTTTCTGAGTGTGAGTGTGAGTGTGGTTGCCAATCCACAGATCTGACCTGTAACTCGGTCTGGTTTGTTTTCCATGAAGATAGAAAGGATAGAAAATTATTTGACGGACTCTTCGCCAGAAAAGTTACACAATGCGCCTTTAAATAACAACATTGGCTACATATTTGCATGAAGACTTAACAGATAAAAATATGCATAGAAGCTATATGTGACAATGTATATTACTGAGGAGATTACTGTGAAAACTGAACATTCAACCGTATTCTCACAGGCCGTCACATACGTTTTATCACTTAGCTACAAGAAGCTGTACATGATGGTATCCTTTAGTCTTCTTCAAACAGTGAGTAATTAGCCTCTGTGGATTATAAGTCCTCCTTAATGAAAAAGCGCCACACAGTTGGTATGGCAGTGTAATAGGATCAAAGTGAAGAGAGCCAACCACAGTCAGACAATGTAGCAGGTGCCTGGTGTGGGCTGCTTTGTTTGTAAAAAGCTGCTAATTTTTCCGACTGGGAGAGAATTGGTTTGTAACAGAGTCAAAGGGAGTTGGTTAAGCTTTTGAAGTGGTCCAACAGAGGGAAAGAATCAGAATTTTAAAAAGTTCTGATGAGATTTTTTTAATAAAGTGTTGGAATAAGTGGCCCATGCTTAAGAAGCTTGAAACTGGCTAAAACAAAAGCCAGATTTATTAGATATGTGTGTGTGTGTGTGTGTGTGTGTGTGTGTGTGTGTGTGTGTGTGTGTGGTGTGTGTGTGTTCGTGTGTGTGTGTATAGTGTCCGTTACCTTTTTCAGCACCACGGACAGATTCTACTTATACCAGAGCTCAAATATTTTAACCACAATCAAGTTACTATATCAAAAGTTATGATTTTTTTGCCACCAACAAGTAAAAAAATTGCAACCTTTACAATTTGCTGACTGTGCCGACTCAAATTGCAGTTTCAGTTCAACTATGATTATTCTTGCAGCCCAAATCTAATACTTTACTCGCATTATATATCTTTATGTGTTTAGATTTTATTGGTGCTTTTCAGATTCTAGTTTTACAGATTTCCCTGATGATACTTTTCTGAGACATCCTGCTGGGGGAACATGGTTACACAATGCACAAGTTAACAATAACTACCAAAAAGGTTTTTAGATCGTCTGAAAACTCAAGAAAAAATACAAAATAGATTTAAGCAACACATTGCAGGAGCCTGTGATCAATACAAGCGTTCATGGCCCTGTTTATGTGTTTGATTTTCAACAAAAAGTGAGACTGACTAACTGAAAAACATTTGGCTAGTGCTAGGTTGAGACTGTAAAAAAAAAAAAAAAAAAAAAAAGAGACTTGTATCAAATGAAACAGAAAATGCACACCAAAGTTCCTGTAGAGGCGCAGATGCAAGGAACAGCAAAATAAAAGTGAAAAAAAAGCATAGCACACTCAGATGGCTGATGTCCAAAAGCTTTTTTTTTTTTTTTAAATAACATTTCATCAAAAAAAAGCCTTCGCCAGAGACTTTTCTTGCTTTTGACCACAGTATATAAGACACTTGTTTAACGGCACAAATAATCCCATCTGTACTTGTAACAAAATCAGCTCTTTCTAATCAGATTGTCTTAAAACAAAGCTCAGAAGTCTAACTAGATAGAGTAGATAATACAGCAGGGGTCTACAACTTGTAGCTCGGGAGCTACCAATAGCTCTCCACCCCCTTTCAAGTAGCTCGCCAAGGGATTTCTGAATTAACTAATTAAAAACTAGCTAATTAATGCCCAAATTGGTGCACTAATAAATGGATAAAGGTGTATGGTTTATAAGTATATCTAACTGTTCCTCATCTAAGGCTACCATATGCTCAATTTCTTGTGACCAGACATCCCTGTTTACCCAGGACAGTCCCAGTTTTGAGTCCTGTGTCCCCCGTCCCAGCAGATTTACACAAAGCCATTGATTTGTCCCAATTTTATACAAGAAATGTCCCAGGTGTCCCTATTTTTGACCAATCTGATCTTAACTAGGACTAAACTAAGTAAGTAAGTAAGTAAGTAAGTAAGTAAGTCTTTATTTATATAGCGCTTTCACAGACATTTTCTGTCCCCAAAGACGCTTTACACAGCATTATTCAGCACTATTCATTCAGCATTCATTCATACAGCATTATTCATTCACTCTAAACCTGATGATGGTAAGCTACTATTGTAGCCACAGCTGCCCTGGGGCTCACTGACAGAGGCGCGGCTGCCATGCCACTCGGCGCCATCGGTCCTCCGACCACCACAGCACTCACACACACACCACTTTCATACTAGGCAATGTGGGTGAAGTGTCTTGCCTAAGGACACAATGATTGAATTGATTGTATTTAACTGACCATGACTATCAACTGTTTATGGAGACCTATGTAGCATGTTTTGGGTAAACCAGGGCTACAACAGGTCTAAACTGAGACTAAAACAGGACTATCACAATCATCAATCATCATTTGTTTAGCCAAAATACAGAAAATGACAATAAAGCAGAAAGTGCAGTGTCAGATGTCCCTCAGATTATGTTACACACTCTTTTCAAAATTTTATTTATACCAAACATCCCAACCCAGGTGTGTCCCAGGTTTTGAATTTTGAAAATCTGGTCAATCTACCTCTAAAATGAGTACCATATTTTCCGGGCTCTTAGACGTGCTCTTAAGCCTCTAACCCCATCAAAAAGACCGCACACCTTGCAAGCTAGAACGTCCTATACACGAATCCACTCGGGTGTCCCAGCACGACTTCAGTGAACTACAAAGTCGCACCACCCGCAGCGCACGCAAACACACACAGAGCAGACAGCGATCGCGCAGCAAAACACACCCACAGCCACACTCATCACTCCACGCTGACGAGGAACGGAATAGAGGAATGAACCGAAAAAGGGAGTACAATGTGCCACTCTGAGCCACAACTGAACAACTGAGTCATTGCGAACACGCCAACAATCCAGCGGTCCCAGACAGCAC